TCCACCGTCTCCTTAATCCTCAACCCCAGTAACCATTTCCTCCAAAGCCTCAACACCACTTCCCTCTTTTCCTCCTCTATTTCTCTCTCCCTCTCCTCCCTAAATCCCTTTACAACCTCTTCCACCGCCTCTGCATATTCTTTCGCCACCACAATCCCTCTCAAAACCGCCGTTCCATGTCTCCCCCTGAATTCAAACCCCGTAAGCGCGGCTGCAAAATCTATACCCAGCAACTTTGCCGCATATACTGATTCAGGTGCTGAGATATGAACGCCCCCTTTGGGAACCATAGTTGGTACATATACATCTATATTTCCGAACGAGTTTTTGGGCACCCGACCATTTACTATAGGGGGTGGGACGAAGAGTTCTGTTTGTAATTGCGTGTACAGGGCTGTACCTGCTCTTTCTTCTCTTTCTTCATCGTCCGCAAGATCGTTTTTTCGTGGGTTTCGAGTTGGAACGACTTTTACTGGTTCCTCGCACATCTTGACCTCGCGGCCAAGTCGATACCATGCATCTGCACTTTTGCATACATGAACATCTTTCCTACGATATACATTTTCCAATTTCTTGATTCCACTCGCACTCGCATTCCCGGTGGCTACTTTTCCACTTTCTCTTTCGGCGACAATAACTTCATTTTTTCGTAGATGGCGTTCAAGTGCATAAACAGGATGATCCTTGAAATCCTGCACGTTTTTCGGCATGGGTTCTCTACCCTCTAGGGCTGCCAATTCCCCGTCTTCGATTTGTTCCACATCTGTTTTCCAACCACGGGAAAAGTGGGAGAGGACTTTATTCCACCATTTTTGTCCACCTGGCATGGATTCGATGCGTTGTTTTCGGGTTTTAGAATTGGGAGCTTTGGCGTAACGACGAGTTACGTCGCGAGCAGAGGAATCGGGGGCAAAGGCCAGGACGTATGAGAGCGCGTTTTCCTTATCTGTGAGAGGTGGTTCAAAGGAGCGGGGTTTATAGATTGTTTCCGTGACTAGGGGGTCGATGGGAATCCATTTCTGGTGAGCACAGTCGAGGACCTCGACCCAGAAGATGGGGAAGGGGGATTCGCGGATGGGTTTTGCTTTTGGGGTGGGTGGAGGTAAAAATGCGGGTTTTATGGTGGGAATATTGTAGCCGGCGGCCCCGGGATGTCCGAGGCGACTGCGTGGATTTGAGAGGAGAGTTGAGTTAATAGGTCCTGGTGAGGGCATGGGTGGAGGTGGAATTGTCGGTCTTGCTTTCGGCTTGGGTGGTTTGGGCATAGATGGGCCGCCAGTGGTAAAGGATAGAGGTTGTAAAGAACATACCAAGCGAGCTTCAACATCCACGCTTCGTAATAATGCACAGAATAGTTGTGCTCCTGAGTCTCTAGAGCCATTTAGCTCCATCGCCGCTTGCCTAAAATCTTCCCTTTCATATGAAGCATCTGCATCTTCAGGCAATTTGTACTGTAAACATGTCAATTTTTATTTCTAAAAAAGCAATAAGAAATCTTACATTTTTGATATCATCCTCATTATCCGCCCACAATGCTCTCCTCAATCCCCTCTTTGTAATCTGAAATTTTGTCCTCCACAAAACAGCCACCATATCCAAACCTTTCTTCAACGATTCAGCTTGACTAAATTGCGATAGATCCTTTCTTGGCCTCAAAAATGACATCATTTTCCTATTCAAAAGCGGTCTAAGAGAATCCTGAACTACAGAATCATTACACCATTCATTTCTTCTATGCACATGTGATAATAAACACAAAAGATGCAATTTGTGAGTCTCCAATCGAAGACTTTTGTCTCCTCGTGTGAGAGCTTTACGTCTGGGGGTAGCAGTTTGACGTTGAGGTGCTGGTCTAGTGAGGGTTAATTCTAGATCTCCTGATGGTTCATCATCTTTGGGGTTAAAATCGATGTTTTTCCAGTCAATTTCAACACCTGCATCGCTCTCATCTGTTTCTTCATCCGAATCTCTGTATGCTGTCTGCTGGGGCCCATCCGCGTCTTCTCCTGGGTCCCCGCCATTGAGACTCGTTGGTGCCGTCATGACATCCTCAAATTCGACATCTTCATCTTCATCTTCATCATCTTCAGCTTCGTCATGTGGCTTCGCCACAGAAGGTCTCGATGGCCCTGCTTCTGACGCCGTAGCTACGGCATCTCGTGAACCAACTTTCCGTCTCTTTAAAGGTCGTTCGGGTACTGCTAATTGTGATGGTATGGCCTCTTCTAGCATATCACGATATACATCTGGGACTGCATTTTGACCCGCAGCTTTGCCTTTCCCTTTTGCTTTTCCCCTGGTCTTGGGAGGCATTTTTGTCCGTGGGATCTTGTAATTGAGATACCAGCGAATGTTGAAATGGGTTGCGTGTATGCGTCGTGCTATGTGATCTCATTGTCTCGGAAAGAATGACCTTTGAGGGTATTGCTACCTGATTTGCCCGCGACGCCCCATCTAGGATATTGTGGATTAATGATTTATTATAGAAAGTAGGCAAAAGCAGAAGGATCTCAATAGAGGGAGAACTATTGAGTCTCAACTCATATATATTAATTAATTTTGAATCAATACCAGTACATGGCTTATTCTCGACCAAGAACCTTTATATCATTGGAGCTCGCTGACGCAGTTGAATTTTGAAACTTGGATGTTGATTAATAAGCATGAGGTCGTGACTGTGTATATTAAAAATGGGGGTTGTAATTTATCAAACTGCATCTTCGGCGCAGACAAATATCATATCCGAACACATCCACGTTTGAAAGTCAACCGGGGATATTCATGTATGTGAAGTTCATTGGGATCTAAATGTTTGTTCCATTAAGTTCAGCTGTTCGTTAAATCTAATGTTTCGGTACTTATTAGTATTTCAGGGATCAGTATCATGGTCAAAAACATTCAAAACGGAGAGATATCAGGAACTATCTACTATTTTAAACCTGCATTCAGCAGTGTGTGCGAGTTGCTGGGTCTTCCTCGGTTCTGTTTATATGGTCGAAAGACCGCTACAAATTTGAAAGATTGTTTGTCTTTCTCTCTTCCACACCACATTCATAGACTATCCCGGACCCATCTGAGCTGATTGGAGATATTGAAATCATCTGATATAGATTTATCGATAAATGGTTTGATAGCAAGGCACGATCGAATCGAACCAAGTTTCCTCACAACTTGCTTTCCTCATTGCTATTTCCTCTCTTCAACGTATGTGCATAATGCCAATCATCTCCTCCAATATCCATGCGTACTTTGTACGCTTCTTCCGCGTCTTCTAAAATTTGCATGTTTAGTTCCACCACGTTCATTCCTTCTTCTCTTCCCATCTTTCCTAGAGCTCCTTGGAATGGTACGGTGACCTGGCTAATTCCCAGAAATCCAGAATCCTCTTTGCCTTTCCCTACAGGTGCTCCAGCGTTGCAGAATATGATTCCGCACGTATTTTCGAACGCTCTAGATACTAGTGCAGACTGAACAAACAACTCTTCAGAGAGCGGATTTCGTGCTAACCCGGCAGGAGTACAATCGCTGAGAGTCCAGAAGGTTGGGATAATGATGAGTTTCGCACCATGAGAGATGAGCTCTCGGAATGCTTCAGGAAATGCAGCATCCCAGCAAATAAGCATACCAACTTTGCCAAGAGGAGTATCGAAAGTGGTGTGTGGATCATTTGTAGACGAAGTTAGATGTGGACGTTCAGGATGCCAGAGATTCTTCTTGGTGTAGGAGGAAAGTATTTTACCCTCAGGGGAGATGAAATGAGCCGTGTTGTGGAGTTGAGAAGTTTCGGGGTGTAAAGTGCAGATGGTTCCTGGGACGATAGATATTTCGAGTTCGGAGGCGAGAGACTTATAACCAGAGACATATCTGGATGTGACATCGTGGTGACACAGTGGCAGGAATTCAGGTTCATCTGGAACCCATGATGTGAGGTGATATTCAGGCAGAACGACAAGGTCGCAACCTTTGGAAGCGGCTTCTCTGATAAATTCTACCGCTTTCTTATAATTGTAATCAATAGCTAAAGGCTAGTAGAAAGATATGAGCTCGAGTTCTTTCAAGAACTTAGGAAATCGTGGATATTGCATGTTGTGAATGACATATACGAAGAACAATCTAATGAAAGAAAAGGAAAAAGCAAAGCGAATATTTTCGAACCAAGGGTCCCTTCTTGTATCGAACTTTATAGCAATGATGACTGGAAGCCAAAACCCCCACATTTAACCCTATTTTGACTGGCTAGGCTTGAACAATGAGAAAATAGACGGAGACGCTTCTAACGGCCCCTAAATGGTACTATTGTGATACAGATCCATTACTTACAGATCTTTTCCGAATAAGTTAAAAAGAGGAATGTCAACGAACCTTGGGGCAAAGCTGCACCAACGCAATCTTATATACTGACGCCATTCTTATAATTTAGTGCTCTTAAATTCATCTTTGCTTTATCAGTGTTTGATCATGTTGTGCGGAACTCAATGCTTACCAAGAAGTCCGCTTTACGCTTGCTGTTCGCCAAAAGAGTTCTCAAGTCTGCTGCCTGTCAAGAGTCTTGAAAGTAGAAAACATTGGAACAACGGAGCGACGAACGAGGGGGTGAGGGGTGGGAGAGGTAAAGCGGGCGCTAGCGGAAGCACGCACCCAATCAGGACTAGCGCAAAGCTACACCTGCGGGCAGGTGAACTCATAAATTTAACAACAAAAGGGTCCTTGCGAAACGATATATGGCAGGTCCTCATTCAAAACGACAAAGCCGCATACCTAGCTTTTGTTTGCTCTCTATGTTAGTAAGAGGAAAATGACGAATTTCCATCCTGGGCGTTTTGGTATCTTTCGTCATTAGCCGGGCCTTGATTAGCCGGTGGAAATGATGACTTTCGCGCAACATGTCATGGGTTCAGATCCCACAGCCTTTTCACGACATTGAGGTTGTGCTGCAGCTGAGCCTCCGCTTCTCGTGAGAATTTTCATCACTACTTTGATATCTGTTCTCGGTCATCACAATGATGAACCCTTTAGACGCGTTGTCATTGGCAGGAACGATTATTCAATTCGTGGATTTCAGCTGGAAGGTGTTGGTTGGTACTAATGAACTGTACAAATCGGGTGCTGAGGCGTTAGCCGTTCACCAACAATTGGGTCTTGTGGCGGATGATCTCAATAAGATGTCCAAGAGGCTCTCGGATTCATACTGCGGCTTATCTGAGATGGGAGTCATTTCTACACCATCAGATGACGCGTTTATCTTCATCTGCAGAGAAGCATCAGAATTGGCCATTGAATTGAATCGAAAGCTGAACAATTTGAAAGTGGCAGCTATTGGCAAGCGCAGGAAATGGGAGACTGTGATGCAAGCGCTGAAGTCAGTTTGGACTGAGAAGGAATTGACGACTTTAACGAATCGCTTGACATTGTTGAGAGATTCAATTCAGATGCATGTCGTTGTAGATCTTCGGTAAGTAGAGCAATGACCTCCGCCAGATATCAATAGAAAATGACAAGCGAAAGGGATCAGCTCAAATCTATATCGCCGAGTCAAGAAGTTGGCTTCGACCGCCTTGATACTAGTACAAAGACTATCGTCACTGCCCTTCTCACCCATCAAGATGAAGTCAGCAAAGGGATCCAAGATCAAACGATAGCGATTACTCAGTTACTCGGTAGAATGGAGATTCTAGCTGAGAAGCACATGTTTCCGCCAGGAATTTTGCAGCAGATTGAAAAGATTGAAATAAACCAGTGAGTTGTTTTGCGGTTCTTTTCTAAATTCACATTATTTAATCTCAAGCCGGACAATCAACAGTCCAGATTGTCGTTTGTCAACCAAAGACTTTCGACCTGCGAGTCGTTTAAACTACCTAGATACCTCTGGATGTTTGATTGGATCCGAACATTCACTCATTCTCCTTTGTATTAGGAGCCAAAGCTTGATACTCGCCGGAACACAAACATCTCAAAATCAGCTGTTGCATAAATCTGAGTGGCAAGAAACGGCACTCCGCTTGCAGATTACTCAATACCTTGTTCAAAATCTAAAGTTCCTAGCATTGAAAGAACGTGAAGAAACTATCGCGGATGTATATCGAGGAACATTCGAGTGGCTATTCAACGACAGTCATGAATCTACACCGTGGCATAGTTTTGTCTATTGGTTGGAACATGGATCTAATATTTATTGGATCAATGGAAAAGCGGCTTCCGGAAAGTCAACACTAATGAGATTCATATGTGATCACAGTAAAACGAAGGAACTTTTAGAAAAATGGTCGGCTCCGCTACCCATTATCACAGCCAAGTTTTATTTTTGGAATAGCGGGAGCCTTGTACAAAGGTCTCTAAGCGGTTTTCTTCGAGCTCTTCTTTCCCAAATTCTGGGACATCTTCCTGATCTTCTCCCTATCTGTTTTCCCCAAAGGTGGGTCAAAATCTACACTGATTCGGTCAGACCGTTCTGTGGACTACACCAAAAGTTTCAATCAATGGAAATGGAGCACTGGAGTTTAACTGAATTGCAGGCTGCAATGCGGAGCCTCGTAAGTCAAAGCGTACAACACTTCAAACTTTGTTTGTTCGTTGACGGTCTTGACGAATATGAGGGAGGACCTTCGGCTATTACTGGATACTTTAGCATGCTCGCTCAGGTACCGTGGCTGAAAATATGCGTCTCCAGTCGTCCGTTACTTGGATTCGATGATGCTTTTGGATCCGGGCCATCAATGCGGCTGCAAGATCTCACACGTATCGATATTAGCCATTATGTCAAGTCGAGTCTCCAAGACAATGTCAACTATCAACGATTTTGCGTGGAACAGCCCATTCAAGCACTGACTCTAATTAGAAATATTGTATCGCGAGCAGACGGGGTTTTCTTGTGGGTTAGGCTTGTATTACAGGAGGTTTTAAGAGGTCTCGACAATCGAGACGGCTTGCAAGATCTACAGGAACGTATAGAAATAGTGCCGCAAGACCTGGAAGAACTGTTCTCCTCGATGCTTGGAAAAATCGAGCCCTTTTATAGAAAGAAAGCTGCATCAATTTTTCTGATTGTCCGAGCGGCAAACGTACATCAGAGGAGCGTCAAGTCATTAGACACGCTGATTCTATCCTTTGCTCTTGATTATGGCACCATTCGTTTCGCAGATATCAGATTCAACTTTCAGGACCTAGAGATGAAAAACAAAGAGATTAGTGATCACTTCAAAGTGCGATGTGCAGGATTGCTCGAGGCGGGACCAAGATACTCCCCAGGCTTTGAATATCTTGGACATCATTTCACTTATTTGCATCGTAGCGTCCGAGAATATTTAGAACGTTCAGAAATACATCAGAAGTTCATGAAAGATGGCGCGGGAAGAGGCTTTGAGCCACACACTGCCCTTATGTGCTCATACATCAAAGAACTTCAGATTTCCGAACCTCGGAAAGACATCTTGAATCAACCTTCGGGCCTTCCTTTATTTGTGGCAACAGTCCTTCATTTCGCCCACGATGCCGACATTGCGGGCTCCGATGCTTACGTTGAGCCATTAGATACATTTGCGACATTGACGCACAGTGCGAGGTCCAAAAGTATCATTTGGGCACCAGCGAAGTTCTCTTCTTTTGTACACATCGCAACCAAATGGGATCTTTGTGCATACGTCAGAGTTATTTTAGAAAAACTCACCTCCGAAACGAAAGGAATTGTTGCTCAGGCCTTGTTAGCATATGCGCTTGCGGGAACAGATGAATACTACGTGCACGGTATGGAGCAAATGGAGAACTCGGATTATCGGCGAGATCGATTTCCTCCTAGCAATCGCATGATAGAATTACTTTTGGAACACGGAGCGCAGCCTAACAAAAAACTTAAAGACTTTCCAGACCTTTGTGAATGGACTGCGTTTGAGATAGCCGTTCGCAATATCTGCGCAATCCTACCGCCCGTGGACACGGAAGAAAGTGAAAATCCGCAATATTCTGAGGAGGAAAAGTCTTTGGTCTCGAACCATTTAGCAATTGTCAAACTCATGCTGGACAACGGGGCAAATGCGAATACGACGCTCAATTGCAACGGACGAATAGTTACCTCTAGAAAATTGTTGACTGAGACTCTGGGAAAATATTGGAGGAGCAAGGTGTCGACTGTGGATAAAATGTTTAGTCAGAAAGGTGGTAAACTAGAACCTTCAATGATTAGGAGGTGGATCATGACTCACTAGAACTGTTGGAGTGGCATTCTTACCTTACCTAGGTACTCAACAACAGATGTTTGGCCTTCCAGTTTGATTACTTCATCTTAAAGTCAAGAGATATTCTGATCACCATGAAAAACACTGCAACGACTGTGATGAGAATATCCTACGTGTAGATTGCATCCGTCCCCAATAAGGAGAACTTCCTTTACTAATCTAAAAGAGATTTCGCTTCTTGATATATCTCGTACTGCGATATATTATGTAGTAAACTCAGACTAAGAAAATCTCTCCTTGGAATTGCAAATATTAATTCTTCGAAGTTTTTGTTACTTGCCAGCTATTTAGAAGAAGTCTGCCGTCCCATTTAAGGTGGTTGGTAGCACCAAATCTGACGGGCGGGTTGCCCATATCACGAATAGCCGACAAGTAAGCCTGGCCATCATTTGGAAATGCTTGATATATTGCCGGCACAGGAAACAGCAGAGAGAAGGAGTTGAGGTCATCGTATTGTGAGTTATCACAATGTTCATAATCAGTCCATGCTTTAGTCCATATTAATTATTGCACACACTTGAATCTCACCTATTTTGTGGTGAGGCGCGTGTTTTGTGCTCTATTCATATGGAACAGATGGAATCGTCCTTCTGTGTGATTCTCGTTCTTAGACGGCCGATGGATGATTCTGATTCCGAAAATTTCATGGTTATCTCAGGGTGGCCCTCAAGATTCGTCCCAAGGTTGTCTTTTCCTCATGCGACTTTTTTGATTGACGAACATGGTCTCGAAAATTCGTAATCGGGAGGTTTTATACTGGAAAACATTGTACTTGCCGTATGCGCTGCTCGATATTCAAACAAGAAGCTCGAGTACAGTCATCTTCCTGTGGGTACCTCCAAGATATTACCAAGTCTTAACAAATGACAAGACATCAAGTAACATAACTTTATCGACTGAATCCCCCTCACCAGCTTTTTTGCCCATGACTACAATCCATCCTCACCGCCCACACCAACCATACTATAAATCCAAAAATAAGTCAACATTGTCATCTCAGCCGATAAAGGTCCATTTGCCGCCGTGGTAACAGCACGCTCTAGGGCAGACACACGACCTCGGTTGTAAGAACTCAGTTCGTCTGGTTTGGAATGGTCCGTACAAGCTTTACTCCTTGGTCCATATCTTTTGCCATTTTTTATGTTAATTTTATGGTTGTTTTGAAGGATTTATGGTTTGGAGTGGATTTTTGGCGAGTGGGAGAGGGGAATTGTGGGGATGAGGATGAGATGGAGTGAATTTGGAATGGTTTGTGAATGAATGATGTGGATGCTTGATACTATGGTATTTTGCGCTTTTGAATCTTGGGATTGAATCGAAACCATGTACAATAAAGGAAAAGAGGTGATCTTAAGGTTCCATGGTCTTTTGCTGTCTTTCTACAAAGACTTTGTCCAAAAAGTTGGAGAAGACATAAGATTGAATTGCAGGAATTTGGTTTTGATCTTTGTGGAAGCCTACAGATAGAGGTCCAAAAGCTCAATGTCCCTGCAGAAATGGAGTAATGAAAAGCGGCGCACGAAGCAAGTTTCAAGCTTGAATGATGTACCAATAGACTAACCTATAACTAAGGCTTTTACAACAGCCCAAAAGTCAAAGTTCATGTTTGATTTGGGTATTCATTCACAATTGTGTGACTGTTTTGGGTACTCCGCTCTAGTGAACTTTTGTCAGACCAAATAATCAGACAAGCTAGCGGACTGTTGCGCTTTCCACCAGCTTTCTTCAACTCAACCACCTAGAGCAGCTTCAACATTTTCCCAAAATCGACCTCCCTTCGACACCACTATTCCTCAAAATCGATACAGCTTCTTCAACTTGCATCGCTCTGCAACGACAAGTTGCAATACCAAACTACAAGAGATGCAGTTCCTCGACCTAGCTCCTGAGCTAGTCCACCAGATCTTGCTCGAAGCCATCCTTACTCGTGGAATCCAAAGGTCTTTCAGATTAAGACTTGTATGCAGTAAGTTTGATCTTTTGCTAGTAATCAAATATTCTATTCGCTAACACCACCGTACAGAGCGATTTTCTCAAGACGTGCAGTTCGCGCTATTTGAATCTCACCTTCTGGACGATTGCCACACTTGGAAACTTCTGTCCTTCCCCTATGTTGATAGAAATCGAAGGGTGTGCAAATTTTGGCACTCCTATCTCGTATACAGAGTCCAATATAATTCAGATTCTTGCCCACCCCACTTTCGCCACATCCAAAGACTTGTCGAAGCTCTCCGTGCGGAAACGGGAGACGACGTCAAAACCACAATAAAAACTCTTTGCTGGCCGATATTAAGAATAGCAACAGATTGTGCCAATGCCAGAAAGCCACATTTGATTGATTTCAACTTTGGGTTGGATCTTTTGTGTGCTGCAACATGTCTCAATTTCATACCTGTTATAAAACGTTTACTCCAAAGAGGATACCCGCCACGAAGGAGGTCAACTTTATTCCATTCGCTTATGAAATTGGCTGCATTGGCTGGAAATAAACACCTACTAGAATATTTGCAGAAGATGGTGATTGAGACGCAATCGAGTTGAGATTCAGCAGCTGAACACTTCAACTCGATCATAATGGCGGCGATGAGCGGAGACACAGAGATAGTACGAACTTCTTTGTATCCGCCATCATGTTCAACTGTCGATGATGCAAACTTCATAGATAGGCCATTTGTTCCTCAAGAATCATCCGCTAGGCGGTCTCTTTTGAAAGCGCAGATGTCAATAGGGAATCTTGAAATGTACAAATACCTCGAAGAATTCTTTCCAAGACCTGCACAGCGCCCCACCGAGAGTGTTCTTACGAGGCATATTGGTTTAGAAAATTTTGAGATAGTGAAGTATATCCTCGATACAACAGGAGCTTTCTTTTCCGAGAATGGAAGCGCCCACGGAGCAAAGCGTCAAGACATCATTTATCTTCTACTTAAATACGGTCTTGATGCAAACTTCGCTCGCTTGGATGAACACAAATTGGAATGGCTAGGAGATAAACCTATATCTAAAGAAGCCCAGGCAAGAAACAAGCTACTTATTCGCAAGTTCCTCGATCGTGGAGCCAGTCTATACCGGGTACAAACGGCCAATATTGCGCTGGAGTGGGTGGTATCTAGAGAAGATACGGTTATGGTAGAGATGCTTTTGGCTTCGGAAATTGATTTGGCCAGTTGCGGAGGAAGGATATTAAGATTGGCTGTATCCCTTGGTCTTGACTTGATGGAAGACATATTGCATGCGGAGTTCTTCAATCTTTCAATACTTCAAAGGGCGCGTTGGATGATGATATCAGGTGGCAGAATTGATCCAGAGAAACGTGAACCATCAGATTATGTGGGAAGCTAACGGTTGAGATATATCTTTTGAGAAATTAGTTTGCATATTTTGAGATAAACAATAAAAGAATGGATTCCGATATCAAATAACATAGTTGAAGTTTGAGGTGACCCATCAGTCCATGCACACCTCACTGGTGGCGCAACAGAAATAATTGTGATGATTATCATAATAATTGTAAACGATGATTTTATGAATATTCATTCTTAGACATCTTTACCTATCAATCCTTAGATGTAACTTCAATCTCGAAAATCCACTTCTCGATTGCGCAGTCATCAATGTAGTGGGTGGAATGACTTATTATGAGTCAGTGTTTATGTAATCATGCTCACTAGTTTCAAACGTCAAATTCAACGACATGCGTTCCAAAGAAATCTGAATTCTACATGAAATGGTACGCAGACAGTTAATTCTGGTAAATCTGTTGATTAATTAATGGATCTATTGATATGATGATATTTCTCCCGTGAGCCAATGTCTCGTGAGTTGGCTTCAAGCAAAACCCGCCTATGATTTTCCTTCCCCAGGAAAGATCTTCAGCCCATTACACAATCAGATTTAGAACTCTCACGGAGTGTATTAGACAGAATGGACACGTTACTAGTGACTCTCATCTTGTAGGTTGCAGCTAGGTATATCTCATTCCTATTCGTAAATGCAACGTGTAGTAGCGAGGTCGTCTCACAGCGCAAGTTTGTCTCCGATAAGAGATGTAGACCATTGCAAGTGCAATATCAATGCCAGTTGAATCACGTATTCTCTTCTCGAACTACAGCGATGAAGAGTCTTTGAAAAACATTTTCGAAAGATTGTCGCAATTGAAAGACTCAAACTTCTTGTCTTAGTACGTTTCCTTACTGTATGTGGCATGATATTCTAGTGGTTGGGTTCGCTGAGCGGCTACCTACCAAAAACATTGGTGCTGCAAGAATGATGTCCCGAATTAATGGAACAAAATTCACATTGGGTAGTTAATTGCTATTACCCATAGTTGCTAGTTTGTTCCTCATTGATCTTGTTTAATAATTTATTTGATTCGTGGCCATTTCCCAAAACAAGACTGTCGCAAGCTTTGCGACAATCCTCCAAGTTGTCGATCTGTATGTTTACACTATGTCGGCGTGTTTCCACCTCTGCGCTTTAATCTCGCCTTCGATATTTTAGACATAAACTATGTGTCAGACCACTTAGAAGCCAATTGCAAAGCCAAGATTAACTTGCGCCCCTTTACAATACAGCCATTTTGACATTGAGCAAGGGTCACAAATTCAGATATGCAACATTACATCCTCAAAGTTATTCACTATTGCTGTCAGCCTTACCAGCGTGGCCCGCGCGTGGCTCGCGCGTGGAAATACAGCCCTAAATCTTTTGTTGCATATCTGATTGTTTGAACTTTTTGTTAGCTCCAGTTGAAATGGTTGGCTCTCGTTGAGCGCAAAGGAAAAAAAGTGACCTGAGCTTTGCGCTCGTCAAGCTATTGGACATATACAAATCTTGAGCAGTTTTGTTGCATATCTCAAAGTTTGGTCGTTTTCTTAGCTCCATTTGAAATGGTTGGCTCTCGTTGAGCACAAAGGGAAAAGAGCCAGAATCAGGAGATCCAAGCTTTGCGCTCGTCAAATTATTGGATACATACGGAACTTTGAGAAGTTTTGTTGCATATCTGAAGGTTTGGTCGTTTTTTTAGCGTCTCTGAGAATGGTTGGCTGTCGTTGTGTTTAAGAGAAAGGAAGCAGAAAAAAGTGACCCAAGCTTTGCGCTCATTCATTTATTGGATACATTGAAAATCCAGGTCGCTTTTGTTGCATATCTGAACGTTTTATCGTTTTCTTAGCGCCATCCGAAATGGTTGGCTCTCGTTGAGCGCAAGAGAGAGGAAGGTGACCAGAGCTTTGCGCTCGTCGGTCTATTGGACAAGTCCAGCCTTCAGAATATTCTAGATCTTATCAATCTCAAGTACCGTTGTGGAGTCTCGCAACTCCCGACCCATGAATTCACTTTCATACAACAAGCTATTGGGAACAGTCTTAAGAACCAAATATCATATAAGTTTTGTCTTTCTTATCAACTCGTGCGCCTCCACTCACTCAGCGGAAGAATCCTTTTGGGGTAGGTTTTTAACATTGTGGTAGTTCAGATATGCAACATGTGGCAGCTCCTATTCAGATTATTGTATTCACTATCAGGACCACGTGGGAAGTTCAACTTTGAACGATTTGTTGCATATCTGAAGGACATCGAATTTGACGTAAGCAAGATTAGTTGACCAATAACCGCGCACGCGCAAAGATTGATGATATATATTTCAAGGGAGATGGACCGCCAGCCTCGTGGGCGCGTTTTTCTTGCCTGATTTACCCCATAGTTACAACCGCAAAGTGGATTCGCATCTGGTTGCACATCTTCAAGTACAACTGTGCTTCCCGACATATCTACCCGCTGCTAATATTAGATCTCCTTGCTAGTGAATTTCTGAGGTCAATGGATCATCGAGCACAAAGCTGAGGCCACAATTTCAAAGAGTTTTGTTGCACATCTGAAGATTCGAAAAGTCTTCCTTATCAGCCTTACATGCTCCATCCCGCCTCCTACCCGGCGCTAACACATTGAACCATGTGTAGTCGGACCCTTGATACCCAGTCTAGTGCCCATGGCCAAGTCTAGACCAAAAGTTGAAAAGTTTTGTTGCATATCTGACGTTTCATCTTTTTCCTTAGCGCCTTTTGAAATGATTGGCTCTCGTTGAACGCAAATTTTAGGACTCTTTATTCTGTCGTGTACCTGACTAGAGCGAAAAAGACTTTTGCATCTTTCGTTTCTCGACATGTTTTTAAATCCAGCAAATCGAAACCATACTGGTTTTTTCTCAAAGTTACACAATCAGTAGCCCAAAGATTTCTCCTAATTTACGTATTTTTGAAAACATCAGCAGAATGAAATCGTCTCTGTCAGTCTCGGAGGCGCATAGCTTCAAAAGAATGGAAAGCTATCTCAAAGTGCCTACCTTTTCATCTCTCAACGTAACTCCCTCCAACCATATCTATATCGGTTCAAATGTGATTGACTAAGTGCCCTGAACTACGCGACTCTTTTGGTCAATTTAGAGTTCTGAATTTCTTGAAATACAAAATCAACATTTGGAGCAATCTTCCTCTCTGGTAAGAACTTGAAGGTGACTTGGCCCCCGTAGAATCTTTACCGTAATACTACACGTGATATTCGGGTATTGCTGGCGCACAAATCACCTTCGCGAATATTGAAGCTTCCAAAAATTAGTCCTCAACTTTACAACCCAATTCATTCAACAACTTTCAGATTTTAATCATCAACCAACCACGCGCCAATGCTAGATTTGACTTCAAATTTACGCCATCTTTTTACTCTAACGGTCTCTAAATGGTCGACTTGCTACGAACTCGAAGGAAATTATTTTGCTGAAAATAGGATGCGTACGCCTTCGAGCTGGAATTGAGAGGAAACATCGCATGGAGTTGGTGGAAAATATGGATCGACAAATCGAGTACTGGATCAATAAGCTTATGTACTTACATAGATTCTACTTGGACGGTTAATCATAAACTTGAAATTTGGATGTTTTTTCGGCTTGAGATGGATAGGTCGAAAACGCGACTTTTTAAACCGCCCATATTTTATTGCACAATTTTATATGGAACAACGCCCTGATAAATCAGACACGGCTCAATGAGTGTCATTTCACTTTTACAACAAGAAAATTGTGATCGACATCCAGGACAGCCGGACCGACCAAGGAATCGTTCAAAATCGATTTGATCAATTAAAGCATAGGATTAGAAGCATTGATGACAGTAATAAAAATCGGTATTGAGTATGTATTCTTCCATCAATTCATACCTTGTGTCATTTAATAGTCTAGGGTCAAATAGGATTAGGGATACGACAACGAGGGAAAGGGACTTGGGATACGAAAACGAGGGAATCAAAAGCAGATCTACGATGAAGCCTTAAAATGTGACTTGGGATACAGCCACGAGGGAAATCAGAATCGGTATTGAAAGAGTGGGACTTGGCAGGGAGACTTGGGATTCGAACACGAGGGATCAACGTAGGAACTTGGGTCATTATCAAAAAAGGATTGGAAATTGGGACTCAATAACGAGGGATCAACACAAGAATTTGGAATATGTTCAAAAAGAAGATGAGACTCGGAATACGACAATGAGGGAGAGACTTGGGATTCGATCACGAGGGAACTGAACGGATTGAAGAGACTTTGGGATACGGAAACGAGGGAACTCAACGAACTGAAGGGAATTTGGGATACGAAAACGAGAGATATGAGACCTGGGATTCGACCACGAGGGAATAGAAGGGACTTTGGGGTACAAAAATGAGGGAGTTGAGACTTGGGAATCAATCACGAGGGAGCTGAACGGATTGAAGAGACTTTGGGATACAACTACGAGGGAAATGGAGGGACTAAGGACTCGATTATGAGGGAGAAATTTCAGAATTTAACCACGAGGGAGAGACTTTGGGATTTAACAATGAGGGATCAAAAGAGAATTTGGGATTCGACCACGAGGGAGAGACTTTGGGATTTAACAATGAGGGATCAAAAGAGAATTTGGGATTCGACCACGAGGGAACTGATGGTATTAAAGAACTTTGGCATACGAAAAAGAGGAATATGAGACTTGGAATTCAATCACGAGGGAGAGATTTTGGAATTCGACAACGAGGGAACAGAAGAGACTTTGGGATTCAACCACGAGGGACGAAATTCGGGATTCAACAACGAGGGATTAACAAGACTCTTAGGATTGGACCACGAGGGAACTGATGGTATTAAAGAACTTTGGCATACGAAAAAGACGAATATGAGACTTAGAATTCAATCACAAGGGAGAGATTTTGGAATTCAACAATGAGGGAATTAAAGAGACTTGGGATTCGACAACAAGGGATCAACAAGAGACTTGGGATTCAATCATGAGGGAATGAAAATTGGACCACGTTTCTCAACGAATTCGATAGGCTTGAGACATTACGCACCAGGAATTAAGTCACCAGACCTCTTACAACTGAGGTTGAAGGATGACGGCCTGGGGGGGTGCGGGGACGGGGGGGTTGAAAAGAACACTGGACCAACAACTGCAAACGTACACACACGAATGACCTGTATTTTTCGCTGCTTACTCCTTCTATAATATGTTTGCGACTTGTTATGCGACGAAGAGATGTTCCATTGAGGCTATAAGTCACAAATAATGCGATATACGCAGGTTCCACACACCTGAGCCACTGGATTAAAGGTTAATGCATTTTTGCTTTGTGACCAATCACTTAGTGCTGCACACTCCAGAATAAGATGCACACCTATAGTGCATTTCTTTC